GGTGTTACCAATTTCGTTGCCTTAATAACATTATTAGTTAGTTATTCAATGCCTCCATCAATTTCAATTGGTGTTCTAAGCTTTACAGAGAGGGTAACCATTTCATCTAGATTAGATCTAAATAGGTCTCAGTTTGTTTTTTTATTGGTAAGCGATACCTTACGTTGTTTTACTATGATATTTGAGCTTAACGTGAGAAGCACTGGTATGTGATTCGACGTTAATTCCACAAGTTCATTTATTTCGACATAATTAGAGGATATACCTTTCATTACGAAGAAGTCAATTAAATCTGGAATCTTGTTCTGGTCAGATGGCCAATATGTTGCTTTTCTAGTAGAAATTATTTCAGCATTGGTATTGCTTGCAGCTTTTAATAGAGCAYGTCCTTTAGGGGTGATAAGCCTTGAACCCCAATGTTTAGAATTATAGTCTCCTCCAGCAATAAATCTAGCGCCCAAGGTATGGAAAAATTCAGTGAACTTAATTTCATCTACACCACCTTGCGGTGGATAATAAATTGAAGTGACTATGAGGTTGTTAATACCGTCATTTACGACAACGCTGGTAGCTTGTATAATATGGTTTTCAGAATGTTTTTCGTGTTCATAGTGCTTTATGGACTCTTTTATTATTACAGCGAGCCACCACGAGCTCTACCACAAGGATGTAATGTAGTATACATTCGGTAGTTTCTTATCTTCAAGAAAGTCAGGGTTGTAAAGTGTATTTCTGATATAAGAGCTATATCAATGTTTTCTCTATGTAGGAGGTTTCCAAGCTCCTGTTTACGCTGTACTAGCCCATTGGCGTTCCATGTTATGATCCTAAGTGTATTGTTCATTTCTTTTTCTGTTTGGTGTTTTTAGACTTTTGTTTTGTTTCTAACTTGTCCATTCTCGTTGTAATATTTACTAGTGTTTGTGTTACATTAGTTAACGCAACTAAAATATCATTAAGTCTTGGATCGTTATTTTCCTTAGGTTGTTGTATTGACATTTAAGGTACAGATTGATTATCTAAATAATAATAATAAATATAACTTTTCTTTAAGTTTTGATTGCTTACAATTAATTTTGAAGAAATATTAGATGTTTAAATAAAGAATAACAATTTCTAACCTACTTGAAACTTTTAAAGCATATTATTATATTTTATACATGCAATAACATTTTTAAATACAATATTTATGGCAACAGCTAATAATGAATTCAAATTACTGTATTACTCATAGTAAAACTAATTTGGTTATAGGTACTTTAAAATCATTAATATTATATATATTATTATAAAATATATTTAGTGATTCTTAGTGATCTTTGGCTTTTCGCTAAGAAAGGTTTTGTAGTCAATGACTTGATATCACTGAATTCAAATTTAACACATCCATTGTAGTGATCCCTCCTAGACTTCTATAGTTCTATTGTACAGCGGAGCGGCGCCCACTTGTCCTCCTTTAAAAAATCAAAATTTAATGTGATTTGAATAAAGTTTTCTCTCAAATAAATAAAAACTATAAAAATATGGATATTCTATACGAGCCGTGGTCGTTTTTTCTGTAAAGTCATTTTTGGACTAATAAATCTCACTAAATTTTAATATGTTCTACTGATTTTCGATCATTTTACATACATGTACTATGTACTGTTTATAATATWCATAATAAATTGAAATATTCCAATAAAGAATTTAATAATATTTGTGTAATTGAATTATAAAATGTAAATATATTATGATATATTATACAATATATAATATATCATATTATATTTATAGTAATATAAGTTTGTGAAATCCAAGTTAAATCGTAATGAAAAAGTTTAACAGTAGTTATGCGATTACACGAATACATGACATGTGCTACATGCTGTTATGATTTTTTGAAGAATTTTAGCATGATATATAATTTTATTTTTATTTTATGCATAATCTCAAATACCTACTGAAACCATAATATTATATTGTAGTTACTTTAAAATTTAAATGGATTAAAAATTTCTTACAAATAATAGGATTAATACATATTATGTTAATTTCAGTTTGTTATCATTTTAAATTTAAATTATAAACTATTTCTTTTTGGTGATGCCATTGTGTTATTATCCATCGTATTATAATATATACGGGGTGATTCTTTTATCATTGAACACTCATTATTT